TCGCTCGCTTTTTGAACTGCGTTTCGCTAGAAACGTCACGCTTTTCGAAAGCAGAACTACTGGCATAATTACGACTAATTACACCCTTTTAATTAGACCGGTTATACCCTTTTCTTTGCCGTGTCTTCTGTCTTTATTCTTAGGCACCCGCTTCTGTTTCCTCGCTTATTTATTTACCTATACACTAGCGCGGTTCAAAGAGCAACGAAGCTTCCCTAAAGGTCTATGGCTTAATATTTTATTTCTCAATACTACTTTTACCTTTTATTTTTTTCTGGGCGTCGTTTTTTTTTTTCTTTTCTTTTTGTCGGTAACTTCGTTTAACTTTTTGAGAAGAGACTGAATTCCAGTGATTTGATAGTTGGTTATTTTTACTTTGTGCCAGAGATCAAGTTATGTTGCAAATACTATAAATGATTTATAGATTCATCTTTCTAAACTTTCGTTGTCTTTTCGGTGATTTTTCAATTTTTTTATCGTTAGGTTATTGTCTGTTCTGAAACTAAATTTAATTAGATCGTTGATCGATGAGTTTCGTTCTGATGGAAAAAAAGGTTTAAAGATTCTGAATATGTAGCTTTCGTCTTCTTTTCTAAAACGTATTTCTTTCAATTATTTTCCATTTTTTCTTCAAATTAGTTTTATCGTTCTGAAAATAAAAAGCTACTCTTGCATACCACTCCAAGATTTCATTTGTTTCCTACAAAATCAATGTATTTGTATAATGAACATTTTGATATTGTAAGAAGAATATTTGTATTGGAGATTATTAGAAATGCGACTGTTATTATTTTAATATCTACTTCAATATCTCTACTGTATCGTAGTATTTTAGTAATATCATATTTCAATATATGACATACGGTTATTTTTATACGTGAAATTCAGCTACATATATAGATACGAAAATTTATTAACTCTCGGCCTGGGAATTTGTGTTTTTCGTATACTATCTTTCAAATACACGTTCGATAAATTAACAGTGAATTTTTCTTGTAGATAACATTAATAGCCATTGCGCTAGATAAATTTAAAATATTCGTTTCCGCTAATTTGGAAAAAGCAAATAAATCTTCCGCGTCCAAAAGGCAGACAATTAAATTTCTCTTAAAAAAAAAACATCGCGTATCTCACGTGAAGATTGAAATGCTATAGCGAATCGATTATGCGATGTAACGTTAGAAAACTAATCAGACATTACGTTTTTCTTTTTTCTGATAACGTTATCACGTTCCAGTGCGATTTACATTGTCCAAATTGTACAATTTCGTAGTTTAAACGACAAAGTATACCAATTGTCTATCTAATTTTTGACCAGAATCTAGTTTTCTGCCTTCTCTAGTCGAACCGATGATTATGAAAGTGGCTTGAGTCATGTGTTTTTCGTTTCACTATATTTAATGTTTTGCGTTTGACGCGTGAACTGAATTCTGTTTAACAACGCAACGATCAACTCGATCGAAACGATTCAATTTCTACTGCTTTGCATAGATGGTTTCACGTTATTATAAAGTAAATGGATATCACGGAAAGCAAATTAAGTGATAAGTATGAAAATAAATACGATACGTCTAAGATAAGTAAGAAAATAAATACGATATTTCTAAGTATGAAAATAAGTTATTCTCTTATAGATTCTTGAATTTGATAATCATCAACATTTCAGTCCAACTTTTATGCAATTCTTTATACGCATTTATTTTCTTGAATTAAGTTTAACGCGAAAACACGAAAGAAGATGCACGATTCTACGCAATATAATTCTACGCAGCGACAGGATAGTTGCTATGTCAATCTTTTTGTCTAATTTTGTCACCTTCTGATTATTTCTTTTTTTTCTCTTTTTTTTTTTGCTTCACTGTTTTCCTTTAGGGCGGAATATCACGGATTAGTTTTAACGCGAAAAACTTGGATGGAAAGTGGTCGAGTCACTTTCGAATCAAGCAAGTACCGAAAAAAAGAAAAAGCAGAACGCGTAAGTCGCGGCTCGCTTTTAATCGTTTACCGGTCGCTCTTATGGGAAGTTGATCCTGTTTAAGCGAAAGATAATGTGGGAATAGGTAATTGATATTCTGGGGAATTTTACGTAAAATGCATGTGACGTAAAGTATATACGATGCAGTTTGTAATTATTGGAAAGTTACTATTGCTAATGAATGGTAATATGATTTTAAATTACTCACAATTGATGATTTAGCACACTCTGATATTTCGTACGTACCTGAAACATAAATATGCAGACCGTGAATATACATATTAATATTCATATCGATAATTTATTAATACTGTGTTTATATATTATTTAAAAATATGCGTATTCGATAAAAGATGGAAAGTACCGAGATACAAGAAAATTCCAGCCTTTAAAAATAACTAGAATAGACACTAGAATAATAGAAACTAGAAGAAACAGTTATAATGAAAAATCTGATTTTTCAAGCGCGATGGAGTATTAAATGATTATGATTAAAATCACAGAAGAATGAGAGCTTTACACTTTAAACTTTAAAAAATGTGGAAACAACGTGAAAATGTGAGATGGTAAAATCAACTGTACGATGTGGAATTTTGGACGATTATCACGAAATTGAACTTGAACAATAAGAGAAAGTCTTATACAGTGATCAATCATATACACGCGTTACATTACATTGAGCGCAATTCCAATGAATATTTTTAATATTCCATCGGACAGAATTTTTCTACTTGTTCAGTACGTGAATGGAAATTCGAACCACCTATACTTATGCAACGTTCGAAAGTTATTACTAGCAGAAAAATTACGTCACGAAAAAGAAGCAACAAAGGAACTGCATCGGTAGGGTTTCAACGAAGGAACGCAATGCCAACCAGTATGAATATACAATTTTCACACTTGTAAGATATCCTGCGAATTCTCCCGGTGAGTTGTGGACATCTTACGATATCCGAGTGCTTCAACAAGTGCTTTTAACGAACTTTTCGTCATTGTCATTTTCAATGAATAAAGCGTTAGGTTAAGAAAATTGGAAACTTTCATGTTTACCATAGAGAACGTTTGCACAACGTTTAAAATTTTTCCATAAAAATCGAAGTGTTTCCTATTTAAAACTTAGAATTTATGCGATCCTTTCAATAACTGTTTCATCAAGTTTGCATACCCTTTGTGATACACAATTCAACGATGAAGTAAATATTTTGTACTATTTTTAAAGTACGATTAATTTATCAGTTTTGTATGGTATTTAAATCTGGAATAACTCTAAGAGACTCTAAACTATCTCACGGTAATTAGAAACGGTAAAAAGAAAAATCTCATCTGAATATCCAATATCTTATCCTGTCAGCAACTTTCATACTTTCTTATCTGCTATTAAGATAACATTTTGTTACTATTACTTTATACATGTACTTTGTATACATTTCAATCGTACCACTATTAAAACACAAAGAAAGAACAATGTTTCTTTCGTTTTTTAATTATATCCTTGAATTCACGAAGAGGACTGAGATTTTCTCCAGGAACAGTACTTTGTTTCTAAACATGTTCATTAAACTTTAATAATTATGCTCTCTGCCAATTACTATAAACATACTAGATAAGGAGTAAAACTATAATGTTAATAAACACAGCCTTGTTTACTATATTTCTCCGTTCTATACAAAGAAGGGCTTGAAAAGACAACACTTGAAATTAATATTACTAATTAAGTGATTACGTTTATTACAGCAACAAAACAACGAAAAGATACCATATATTTAAACATTACGTATACTTTCATAAAAAGCAACTTTATGATACGTTCGAAATATTTTCTTCCAAATAATTCTCTGACACCGAGAATCTTAAAAAGTACCTCATTTTCAGATACCTTGTCAAACATTAACAAACCCATTTTCCGTAGCATTCGACGGATAACAATCCACGAAATCTCACAATTTTCAAACACGTGCAACAAGAACAAAATCTGACAATCCCATCCCATGCATTCTATCCAAACATCTCGATCATCGTTCACACATTCTCCCAGTCCATGCAACTTTCGATCCGACCAAGTAGCCAAAAAGGCAGCAGAGAACCGGCCGTCCCGAAGGCGTTCGCGATTCTGCGAGAGGATGTAAGTGCGCCT